CACGGTAAACAGCACACGCTAACAACACATGCTAACGACACACTAACAACACACGGTACACAGCACACACTAACAACAAATGCTGACGACACGCTAACAACACATGCTAACGACACACGCTAACAACACATGGTACACAGCACATGCTAACAACGCGGGGTACACAGCACATGCTAACAACAAATGCTAACAGCACACGCTACACAACACACGCTAACAGCACACAGGACACGCTAACAACACAAGCTAACAACACACTAACAACACACAGTACACAAACACAGGCTAACAACACACGGTACACAACACATGCTAACAACACGGTATACGTACAACACAAGGTACACAATATGCTAACAACATACTAACAACACATGCTAAGGACATGCTAACAAAACACGTTACATAACATGGTACACAACACACAATAACGGCACATGCTAACAACACATGGTACACAAATACAAGCTAACAACACACAGTACACAACACACGCTAACGACACACACTAATGACACGTGCTAACAATAAATGTTAACAACACACGCTAATGAAACATGCTAACAACACGGTACACAACACACGGTACACAACACATGCTAACAACACACGGTATACAACACACGATAACAACACATGGTACACATCACATGGCAACAACACTCGCTAACGACACATGTTATAAACACACGTTACATAAGACACGCTAACAACACATGGTACACAACACATGCTAACGACACATGATAACAACACACAGTGCACAACACACGGTACACAACACACACGTTAACAGCTCATTTTAATTAACTGCCAGACAGCAGCAGAGTCCTGGAGAACAGCAAAGAGCAGCTGGAGAACGCCAGACAGCTGCTGGAGGAGGCTAACAACACACGGTACACAGCACACGCTAACAACACACGCTAACGACACACTAACAACACACGCTTACAACACACGGTACAAAGCACATGCTAACAACACACGGTACACAACACACGCTAACAAAACACACGCTAATGAAACATGCTAACAACACGGTACACAACACACGGTACACAACACATGCTAACAACACATGATAACAACACACAGTGCACAACACACGGTACACAACACACACGTTAACAGCTCATTTTAATATTTTGTCTGGTGTTCATTCAGTATTTATCTAATGTTCCCGATCGTTGTGGTCTGCAGTGACGCTGCGTTCGGTATCCAGCAGGACGCTGAGAGCATCCTGAAGACGATGGACGACAACGAGGATATTTTTGATGAGCTGGAAGACAAGATCCGTCAGAGCGTCGACATCGCAAACAATGTCAAGAACGACGTCAAACAGGTCAGTCTGAGATCTGAGCGAAAAACCACAGAAACAACGTCCAGATTCACGCTAACAACGTGACCGATGGCCTGTGTGTCTCAGATAGAGGACGCGCTGCTGCCCGCCGAGCAGGGGATTGTGGGAGTCACAGGGCTGCTGGATGAGATGCGCCCCCTGCTGGACGACCTGAGGAAAGATGTGACGACGGGAACGACGCATGCGAACGAAGCTCAGGATCAGGCCGATTCAGCTCAGGGCGAAGCCGAACAAGCGGCAGAGGTGCGGAAACACACACCTCACAGACGCACATACTGTACATAACTTACAGTACAGAAACATACACTGTTAGCGCTACTCTGGCGAGTTTATTTTAAAAGCTACATGATATTCTCACAAGCGAGGTAACAACGGCGCTGTTTGTGAAGAAAATGAACACACAGTGGTGTTTCATTACTGAATGAATCAACAGTTTTGAACGTATTGAGTGAGCGAATGATTCACTGACTCGTTCATAAAGACAGTCACTTGCTTCATTTTCTGAAAGAATCAGCCGTTTGAATGAATCAGTTTCATATTTACAGTATAATTTAATTTTAATATTCATTTTTTAAATACATAAATTAATTGAATATAAAATTAAATTAATGATTTGTAATTTATTACTGCACATAAATGAATAAATTATATATTAACTATTTTATATATTTGTAAGTTTTTTATAACATGAACGTTAATAAATTGTAACTCGTTAAAATATAATTTATTGATTTGTAATTTCGTAATTTATAAATGCGTACAAATAAGAAATAACAATTATATTTATAATATTTAGTTATATTTGTTTATTTTTAAATGAATCAAGTGAGTTAATGATTCAGTGACTCGTTCGTAAAGAAACGTACTTGCTTCGTTTCCAGATGAATCAGCCGTTTAAACAAATTGGTTAAATGAATGATTCAATGACTCACTCATGAAGACTTGCTGCCACATCCGACACTTAGTTTCAGATTTAGAGTATCATGCCATTTTTAAAAAATAATTTAGCATCATGATTTATGCAATTCTAAAGCTTTTTTTAATGACTTCATTGCTTTTATATAAAAACAATAATGAATTTAAGTGATCTTTTGTGGGTAATTTCTCAGGCAAATGTGACGTGCAATTAATTTGTGATTAATTAATCGGCATCTCATGTAATTAGTTAGATTAAAATTTTGAATCACCTGTGTTCCAGGAGCTGGAAGCACTGAAGAAGGAGTTTGAGCGATTGAAGCGTGCGGCGGCTGAGAGCACTGAGGCGGGTGAAGACTCCGCCCACTTACAGGCGCTGCAGAAGGAGGCGGAGTCTCTGATGACGGACACCAGCGACATCATGCAGGCTCTGAAAGGTACCGCCCACTACACACCCATCCCATAATGCTCAGCACACACATCCCCATGCTAACCGGCGCTGTTGCGGTTGTGTTCTCAGATAAGGAGGCGTCGGTTCGTCAGGGAGCGGCGGAGCTGCAGCAGAACGCGGCGCGACTGACCGGTCTGGACGATCAGGTGAAGAAACTCCGAGACGACATCCGCTATAAAGTCACCAGTCTGAGCATATGCCAGGGCTGAGGAGCACAACACACACCAGGAACAACACTACTAATAAAGCAACTAATAAAGTGTCTGAATGAAGATTCTTGTGAGTGTGCGTTAATATTTACAGTGGAATACTAGCATACTGCACAGTGTGCACTGTAGACTGCTTACTAAAGGAAGTATGCTTTTTAAAAAAAAGCTCATTCAAAATATTATTAAATACTATAAAAGTCACTCTGTCCGATCTGAAACACGCAGAGAAAATTGTGTTTTTATTTGGTATTATTGACATTTATTTTTACAATGAAATGAATTTTTACCTCAATACATTAAACTTTTTTAATGCAATGGCTAAGTAAAAAAATCTCTATAATTTTAGTTTCTAAAGCATTTTTAAATACATATGTAGATAAATCTAGAAAATACAAACATTTTCTAGTCATTAAAAGCAATACATTGCAATATAGTTTAAAACACAGCAACATAAATTAGCTTTTTTCATTAAATCATTCAGTGAACATTTTTGAGTGGCGATGCAAATGAATCACTGAATCAGAGTTATGAATTGACTCACTGAATCAGTCGTGAAACAACTTGTTGAGTCAAATAGTGGATGGAGTGAGTCAAATCACTGAATCAAGTGAACCAATTTGTTGAACTGATTTGCTGACTCGATTGAATCGATTCACTGAACCAGTAAGATCACTAAAAGCTAAATAAAAAATAAAAGCACATAGGAAAATGATTCAACTTCACCTAAAATTAAAATCAAATTGGGTATATATTTTATATACTTATTACATTTCATATTCTAATCTACGTTTGTGTAAATATCACCAGAGTACTGCACTTTTATACAAATTTAGTAGGTATTTTGTGCACAAAAATTTCTGCATAGTGGAGACGATATCATACGAGTAGAATACTAGCATGCAATTCCAAACATAGCCAACTTTTGAAGGTAAAATTCCATTAAAATGACATTAAAACACAGATAAATTCTCCAGGATATTATGTTGGTGTGTAAATCATTTTATGTTTTTTTAATACAGACATACAGCAGCGTGTTTATGGATTACAGTAATAAGCCCCTAAATATCAGATACAATCATCTTATATGCAATTATAAAACATGAATATAGAGAATACAACGGCGTGTTTAAAATCAGAAAATCAGATTTAAACACAGTTCTTAGCTTAAAAACACTCAAACCTGCAGCCGTTCACAGTAAAACAGTGGCACATGTGATCCGCCCTTCCCATGATGCACCGCCATCGGCCCAAACACGACTATCGTACATGAATATACGGATGATAATAATACAATAAACCTGCCTCATCCTGAATTCCTGAAAGAAATGACATTCTCGAACTCCTCGAAATTACACTTTCGCTAGTGAGAGATGAAGATTTGAGACGCAGACGTGTGTGCGATTGGCACTCGGCTTGCGACGGATCCCGAAAAGTCCGTGAAAAACACACACTTGATCATCCTACGAGCGCAGGATCTGAGAGAGAGACAGAAGAAGAGACGTCACACACCTGTACTGTCACGAGCCGCTCAAAGCAGCGGGCCCAAGCCCTACTCACTTCATTTGACTGACAGCTGTCAATCATCCCATCACATCACAGAGCAAACCCCGGTCTGCAGGGACTGGCCCCGCCCATCTGTGCAACATGTCACTCTGTCCGATCTGAAACACACACACACACAAAAAACATTTTATTTGAAAATACTGACATATTTACAATGAAATGAACTTTTAACTTCAACCAAATATTTAATAGTAATTTACCAGTAAAATTTTACTTGTAAAAGCATTTGTAAATTAATGTTTATATAATATAAATCTATACATATACATTAATTATAAGCAATAAATTGCAATATAGTTGAAAACTGGAATTTTTATTAATAGTTTTTGTTGCATTAAACCATTAACAGTAAAAACGCGAAATATTGCCACAAGGAGACTTCAGTGAATATTTTTGATTGATGATGCAAACTAATCATTGAATCAAGAGTTATGAATCGACTCGCTGAATCAGTCATGAATCGACTCGCTGAGTCAAGTGAGTCGAATAGTAGATCAAGTGAGTCGATTCATTGAATCAAGAGAACCGATTCGCTGGCTCGATTGAATCGATTCACCAAATCCATAGGCTCTGTTCACTGAATCAATTCATTCGATTTGTTGAATCAATTAAATCAGTCACTGAATCAAATGTATGAAATGATTCTTTGGTATCAGTTATGAATCGATTAATCAAGAGTTATGAATGGACAGCTAATGAATCAACTCAAACATCGTTTTCACATCTGAAGTTTAAATTTAAAAGCAATTTGAAATAAAATTGAATAAAGCATCTCTAACATGAAATAATCGCAATTGCTACCGGTCCACTGAAGTGCCCCAAAATGTTGGACGGACTCAATTACAAACATACGTAATCAAAAACGGAAATGTATTGATAGTCTGATTTAATTAAAAATCAAAGACGGCAGGTTTGCACCTGTTGGCGGTGCAGGGCAGGTCGGACTCGGAGCGATAAGCGTGTTGCCCCGTCTCACAGATGACCAGCGCGTGCATCGGCTCGCTGTTGCAGGCCTTGAGCGGGCCCCGCCCCCTGCTGACATCAGCATGAGGCGACAGGGTCATGTGACTGCATGAGGGGTTCCCATTGGTGTCCAGCTCGTCGGGGGGCGGGCCGGGAGACGAGATGTCCAGCACCTGGATGAGCGGGGCCGGGGCCGGAGGGTCAGCGTGGGCCAGCTGGAGCCGCCGCATGTGACTGACCACCACCGTCGCGTTAATGACCCGCTGAAACACACACATCGTCATACAGACATCCGTAATCACTAATAATGAACCGAATATATGATCTGCTCTCTCGCTCACCTTCCATTTAGATTTGGCAAAGTTCTTCTGCATCTGCTCACAGACCGAATGAACGATGTTGTCATTGTGTGCCGTGTCTCCACTGATCCTGAACAGACATTTATTCATCAAATCGACTTATTTATCAACATGCAAGTTTATTTCTGTTTCTTATATGATTACTCATCATACCCCCATGAATCAGTGTTTATTCATGCTTTTCAAAATTAACATATATTAATAAATCAGCATATTTATTTTAGAATCTGCATGTTTTTATGCATCAGATGATGAGGAAAGTCTGTTCATTCATCATACCATGTTTTTTCATGAATCAGTGTTTATGCATGAATTAAGATGCTTATTTTAAAATGGCTTTTTATTCACAAATCTGTATACTTATCATAAATAAACACTGATTTATGAACAAAACATGTTTGATTAATAATCCTACTTATTCATGAATAAACAAATGTATAAATAATAAAAATGCTTCTTTTAAATAAATATATATATTTATTCATGTATCAGCATGTTTATTTGTTTATTAATGAAAAAGTATGATTTTTCACCATACTTTGTTTATTCATGAATCAACATGCTTATTTAAAAAATTATATTTATTCATAAAACTCTGTATTTAGTTTATGAATAATTAAGTTGATTTGTCATACCATGTTTATTCATAAATCAGTATATTACTATTATATATTATTATATTATATCATATATTATTATTATTATATAATATGCATGTTTTATGCATTAGTTTATTCATGCAAGTATGTTTAATCACCATGCCTTGTTTTTTCATGAATCAATGTTTATTCATAAATCACCATGGTTATATTAAAATTAATTTTCATTTATAAATCAGTATAGTTATTTACGAATCTACATGCAACTTATACATTTATTTAGTCATTAATAAGTATGATTACTTATCTAACGTATGTTTCTTGTGAGTATTTACTTATTATTTAAACATTCTTATTTCAAAATTTTTGCTTATTCATAAACCATGGCAGTAATCTGAATCAGTCATAAATCGACTTGCTGAGTCAAGTGCGTCGAATAGTGAATCAAGTGAGTCGATTCACTGAATCAATAGGATCTGATCGATTTGCTGAATCAATTAAATCAAACACTGAATCAAATCTATGTAATGATTCTTTGGTATCAGTTATGAATTGATTAATCAGAGTTATGAATTGATTCACTAAAATGGACAGCTGAATGAACTGAACTGAACTGAACTGACAAAAGAAAATAGAGTTTAATCACAATTATTCACATGGGAAAAAAAGATCTATGCCTGAATAATTTCTATAGAGGTTGATGTTGAAGTACAGCTGATGGCCTCCAGGTGGCAGTAACATCTCTTCATGTTTATGAGGCTTCTGCGTCTGTAAAGTGTCTGAGACAAACCTGACTCAGAGATTTCGTCCCAGTACGGCGAGTGGAAGGCGTATTCTGCCTTCATGATTTTGGAGAACAGGCGCGTTTCGTTTTCCTCATAAAACGGCAGGTAGCCGCTCAACCTAAACAAACACATAAGAGATTGAAGGAAAAACACAACTGAATGTCTCTCCGAAGAGTCTACATGAGCCCAGACTCACAAGATGTAGGTTATGACGCCGATAGACCAGCAGTCCACAGCTTTACTGTACGGTTTCTGACCCAGAACCTCCGGAGCTGAGGAGAAACACCACATTATAAGCAACCTAACAGAAATTTAATAGAAATATGATTGCGTAAAAACACTCGCACCAACATATCCTGGTGTTCCGCAGGCTGTGGACATCACGCCGTGATCGGCCATCTTGGACAGACCGAAGTCGCTGATCATGATCTTGGCGCTCTCGTCTGGACTGTAGTACAGCAGGTTCTCAGGCTACAGACGGATAAAAAAATCATGGACGTTAAATGACGTTTCGTTAAAAACTCGAGCGTTAGGAGATTGTCTTCTCTCACCTTCAGGTCTCTGTGGACGATGCTGTTCTGATGCAAATAGGAAACGGCCTCCAGGACCTGTTTGATCACACAGCTGGCGTCTTTCTCCGTGTAAACACCTCGATCCAGAATACGGTCGAAGAGCTCTCCGCCCGACACCCTTCGTGCAAAAACACGTTAAAACAACGCTAAAAAGCTGTGTGGCATTGTGTTTGCGTGTATATTTCAGGCATTATTAAACACGTACAGCTCCATGACCAGGTAATAGTGTGTCCTCGTTTCATAGAAATCTTCCAGTCCCACCACATTATCATGCTTTATCCTGAAAGACAGAGAGAGAGAGACTAAGAAGAATCCAGAATGTGGTGTTTGGTGCTGGTTTGTTGTGTTTTGTCAGTTGTTTTAGGGGTTGTGGTCTGTGGTGTACATTGTGGAGTCAAAGGTGTTTGCGCTAATGGTCTGTAGTGTTTATGGTCTGTAGGGCGTATTTAAGGGCTATCATTAGGGCTGAGTAAAAAATATAGATTTCTCGATTTTAATCGATTCTCATTTTTACGAAACAATATTGATTCTTTAATCCCAAGAATCTATTAGTCTAGCCTGTTTTCAGTTAATGAACGAAACATTGTAGCGGGCATCCCATCCAATAAATTGCAATAGGCTTTGTGCTTTGTTACTTTTGATATGAAACAAAGTCTCAGATTTCAAATTATTACCATTTTATTACAGTACTATTTAATGTGGAGTGACAGATCGCTGTAGCACCTCAGTTCAAGAGAAGCGGCAGCGCGAAGCACGCGTGATCTGATCATCTCCTCCGCTTTATTACAATTTACAGCACAAAATAAACATTAATGAACATGTGAAGGTATGTTCAAAGAAAGAGTTCAACTTCCGTAAATCCGTATCCTGTCTCATGTAATCGCTCAATCAGTGTTTTTAACTGTGGAAAGATGTCAATATAACACCTTGCAAACAATGTCACGTAACGTCACATTTACCTCAGAAAAAAACATATTCTGTGACCATAAAACTCATTAGTGAGCTAGAGAAATGAACTCTAGAGAGGAGCATTTTGCTAAATATATGCACCATACAACATATTCATTATAATTTTTTACTGTTCTTCAATGTTTAATTTATGTTTGAACCATTTAAATGTTTATATTTCAAAAAACAAATTGGTGTATATAAATATAATTATGTAATTGTAACTTTATTATTATAAAAACTTCATTGAGTGTAATTTAAGTGCTTGTATACAAGTCAGTTCATTTTAACCTTCAATATTATAGTAATGTAGTACCAACTGACTCTTATGTATATTTTACAGCATTAGTTGAGATTGTTTTTTCCTTGAGAAAATTGAACATGTACAGTACCTGATATATATCTAGACTAATCGTTATTAAATTGAATCTAATCGAATCGGAAATCGAACCGAAAGCTTGTGAGTCAGAATCGAATCGAATCGCAAAATTTGTGTCAAAACCCAGCTCTAGCTATCATGTTTATGTTTGAGCTTTGTGATAATGAGAGATGGTGCTTATGTTTGTCTGTGATGTTTATGGTCTGTGTAGTGTTGGCGATATGGGTCTGTAGTGTTTATATTATTAGTCTGTGTTATTTACGGCCAGATGTGTCTGTTAAAATAACCTGTGAAGCTTATTTTTGTGGACTTAGTGGACTGTGATATTAATGGTCTGCAGTGCATCCATAATTTACAGGAAGCAGTCTATAAACTTAACACAATTAGCAAATATTCGTCAGATTTAGTTCTCTTTTGGAGGCAAATATGTCCCTGCCTGCTTGGTAAACCCACGTACATTCACCCCTCAGTAATCCTTTAATTGACTAGTGTCAGGATGTTCTCTGATGTCTGTGTCTCAATCAACCGCAGATGAAGACTGACAGGTGCCAAAATGGTCAACAAACCACTAAATCAACTTACAGATAATTCAAAACATTTCATGACTCATAATGTCTAATAATATCTCGTAAATCACAACCTTTATTAAAGTGTTGTAAAAGCTTATAGCGCCTCTTAAAGCTTCATAACCCTTCGTAAAGTGTCATAAGAGCTTACTGTATATTACCTTAAAATTCATAGCATTTCAGAACACTTCGTAAGGCTTTATAACAGCTCATAATGTTTGGTGAAGCTTCATGACACTTCTCAATGCTGAATAACGCCGTATAATATTATGTATAGCTGCTAAACGGTTCCTCCAGGTTTCTCTCAATAGGAGCAAGAGGATGAAGGGCTTCATTGATAAAAATGTCCCCTGGCCCTCAATCCGTTAATCTGTGTCTCAGGCTCCGATTAGCACTGCTGTGGAACGCATGTGTCTCCTCTGAGAGCTAAAGCTGCTGATCCTGTAATAGCAAAAACACCTTCAGGAGCGCTGCACTGATTTCTGACTCAGCACACACAAAACGCTTGATACTTACGACCCCAGAACTTCCTTGAAGTCGAAAATGTCCTTGATGTCGTTGGTGATTTTCTTCCAGCTGCAGTCGATCTCCTTCCGACCCATCGCGGCTCGAGTTTCACAAGCTGACTCCTGCAGCAGACACATGTTAATTCACAATGACACTTACATAAACATCACATGTGCGTCTGTTCATGCCCGCAGTCCTTCAGAAGTGTGACTTTACTCTTACATAAACATAATGAGCGTGAGTTTTAATCTCTGACCTTTGACCTCTCTATGTGGGTTATATTGCATTAACTCTCTCACACTGATATCTGGAGCAAAATCACAGACCACCAGAATAACACATCAGACATTGTATTAGTTAATGTGAACTAAACATTATATTTTACTGCACAGAATTGCACTGCACAAATATTTTTGGTCCCTAATTTTTATCAATTTTACATATTTTGGGTGTAATATGTCACATTTTACTTTATTTTGCTATCCTCACTTACATAAATGAACTATAGTGTCCTGCACCCACTAGTAAAAAATATAAAAAATTATATCTGGTGTCTGAATAATTTTTGGTTTGACTGTGTGTATGTTACACTGAAAAGAAATGGTATAGAAACAGTTTGCACTTAAATTGATTTAACATTACATTTTGAAGTAGCAAAACAAACTATTTTCTTGTCAAATGTAATGTACTCCAATAAACTTGTTTTTAAACTGTTTTATTTACAACTTTTTCTTCTTCCTTTTTTTTTTACAGTGTAACTAATTAATTAACTAATGAGACCTTACTGTAAAGTGATACCGATTTCACAATAACTTTATTTAATAATATTAATAAGCATTATCACAACGAATAGTAGCTACTGTAAACTTTAATGCATGCACTTTTCATTATATTCAAGACTACACGTTTATATAACGTTTCATTTACATTTATCTTTCGTCTTTTAATGTCTTTCTTTTTAACGTTTAACATTTAAGGTCAAAATATTGACATCAGGCAACATTTACAGATGAAAATTTTGAGTTTAGAAAAACTAAATCGAACAACTGCTACAATACATGAAACCAAGCATAATAAACTCTGCTGATTATTCTCGGTTATTAATGAATATGAATATGAATATGCAGTGTCTTACCCGGAGCGGACTGCAGGAGTGAGAGCCGACGAGCATCTACCTGCTCTGGAGAGCGCGGGGGGCGGGGCCGAGGCGCGTGACGTCACCAGCGATCCCCCGAGAGCCAATCAGAACAACACTGCATTAAAAACACTCGCTCGCTTTAAAATTGGACGTAATATCTGATGTTAAATATGCTAACTTGTATTTTAATGATGACAAACCAACGCGGATTCATTTTTGCTCATTAATTTTGTGAGGAACTTTTAAAAAACACACGTGTTCACCAATGTGAATCTTAATACTCTTACAAAATAGCGTATTTTTAATGCTTTCTTGAACATTTTTAAGACTTAAATGTAATGAAAATTGCAATAAAAGATGTATGCTGAAATGCAATGTTTTGATATATATATATATATATCAAAAAAAAAAAAATTTCAGTTTGGTGTATATATTATGCCAAATGTAAAAAAAATAAAATAAAAAAAAATCTAATTAAAATAATCAAAATAAATAAATGCTAACCTCTGAAGGCATTCATCTATGTCTTGCACTGCTTAGATTATTCTGTTGATACAATTTCAACACTCAAAAGCTTCTAAAGGGTCATAAACTGTTCAAATAACATGAAAAACTAGTCTTTTATTGTATATGTTTGTGGTTAAGAGCATAAGTGCGTGTATCATTTCAGTGAGTTGAGTGAGTTTTGCATCATGCATGAGTTTGTCCTGTTAGTATGCTATATCTGTTAGATTTGATGATTATATATGCTGTAAAGTGGCAGACATGCACACACAGAGCGTTAGAGAAGCACATGAAGCAGCACGTCTGTTAGCCTGCGTTACATCAGCAGATCCTCTGGCTCACGCTTTATCTCTTCATAATACAGCTACCATCATTACACACGGCTCAATCATCTGCAGCAATATTACACCAGATTATACTCATAATGATTACATAACACAAAAACCTCCTTATCACAGGCTGGATTAATGATGTATAAATGATTTTTTAAATATACCAATTATTACAATGACCTAATATGATGAATAATAATAATAATAATTAATAAATAAAATACCAAAATGATTTAATATGAAATTAGTTGATTTATTTATCTTCTTTCAATAGTCCTACTCCAGATATCTTCTCTTATAAACAAATAATATTATATTGTAATATAATATGTTGCATATTTAATGTAAATGGAACATAATTTTGCATAATTTTCTGTCATGCACATTGTTTTTAAAGTCTTATCTTTAAGATAACGGTCTGTGTGTGTCTTTAACAACACTAGATGCTCGTTTAAGAACAATTTAAGCTCCTGTGAGTCGGTTTAATCTGGTTAAAATGACTTTACCAGAAAATTAAGAGCACTTCCTGATCTCGTTTCTCATTCTGAGCTGTGATTGGCTACGCAGCAGGATGTGGGCGGGTTTAAGGTGCCCTAAAATTCACAGGACAGGAAACAGAAGCGGTCATTTATTCCGAGGAGCCTGTGAAGGACCATTATCAAACGTCTGTAAGCGTTGATATAATTCCAGCAAAATGAGGATGAAAGTTTAATCCAACCCAGATAACATCCACTCGACTCTATTATTCAATTATATGGACATGTTTTTCATTCATAAACTGCATTAAGCCACATAATTTAATATTGATATCTCTGTCCAGTGCATTCATTACCAGAACAATCCAAATAAAAGCAGCGTGAAATGAGCAACAGCTGCCACGATTCGGTTTTGAAGCTTCTCATTGTCTCTCTGAATTTAATTACTGTTAATTAGCATCATTAATCTGTTTGCCATGGCTTCGCACCTGTTTCAGGAGAAACAAGCACATTCAGCGGCATTAAATCAGAATATTTAATGCTGATCTGTTTGTATCGTGTTCAGGACAGACGTGCGCAGCCACATTCGCAAAGGTTACACTATAATCCAGTTCATCTGCGGTGCTCAGTAATGAGTGAATGAGTAAGTAACTCGCCACTGCCACCTGGTGGAAACACGCAGTCAATTACACTCAACCCACTCAAAACCGAAACGGCCATTCATGTTGATTTGAATGTTTATTTTTAACTAAACTAGTCGTTTAAGATCAAATAACCACACTAAACCATCAGTTATTTATACAAACACTCATGACTACATATAAAAGAGCCACCATCAGCATCATCAGACCGAATGCAAGCAAAATCATTCTGACGATCCATCCGCACGTAGACCTCCAGGACAACAGGGGGCGCTGTGGTGGAGCGAGACATCTGCAAACATCACACAGCATGTCAATGGTATTATTTATGCACATAAATTATGATAATTACATGTAAACATACAGCTCAGGGTTGGGCTCCTCCCCTCGTTCTGACTCCTCCCCCTCAAATGAACTTCCTGTAGGAGAATAACGACGGCGATGGCGCAGCGACGTGATTTGCGTCGCACTGGCGAATACGAAGTGTGGTCACATGCACTTACATAGTGTACGGATACATCTCAAGAGCATTGGTTGCGTTTTACCTTTGAAACACGCTGCTGTCCACGTCATCGTCTTGGTTTAGACTGCTCGCCGGAGAATCTGCGGGAACTACTTCCTGTCTGAGAGATGCAGAAAATAATCAGTATCTCTGGCTGAATGAAGCTTTAGCTACTCTCAAATTTAAGGATGTGTGGTTTTACCTCCTGTCCGCTTGCGGCTTCTTTGCATCCAAACTAGCTTTGCAGTTCTCCAGAAACGAAGCCTCTAGATGCTTCAACTGCAGAAATAAAAACCCCACGAAGACTCATGAAAACATTCAGATGGTAAACCTGAAGAAACGAACGCTGGAATATGGTCCATAAACACGTACCTCAGATTGAGTCGGGAGGAAGGTGATGCTGACCCTGCGACGAGTCGGCTACAACAAAAAACACAAGCTATTATTGATGGTCAGAATAATACAAAACTAAAGGTAATGAGAGTTCAACTCTATCAAGCCAAAAAAACTTTGAACTGTCATTCTATGGAAAAGAGTGACATTGAGCTGCAAAAAGATTGACATTGAGTAAAAATTTTACAATCTTCATATTTTGGCCAACTAAGTCCTTAAATAGGAGTTATTAAGGTACTTACACGAGTCTTACAGTTCATACATGGTCAGTTACCTGTTGTGATGAATATCTGAACAGGTCTCGATCATCTGTTTGAGGAAAACTCTAGTTATATAAGAGTACAGATTTATTTAAATACTGGGATGTGATTCTCAGATGTCCTCCAGGCCACTAGGGGCAGCACTGACCTGTGGAGTCACTGTGCAATCGGCCCTTCCTCCTGTGCAGCAGCTTTCTGACCTCCAGCATCTCCTCGCTCTCTATAGCGTGACGTCTCTTCAGATGCTGCATGTGTACTGACATCAGCTCTACTGCATGACTGACACGCGCTTCCTGATGCATGCAAAACATGAACAATGCATGGTTAATATTAAAAGGCTCAGTGCACTGTCTGTGGTGTGACATCTCTGGTTTGAGGTGTTTGATTTTGTAAGGTACCTGGTGTGCAGCTCCGAGCATCTCTGCTGTTTTGAGGACATTGTCCATGTTGCTTTCAAGCATCTGCAGGTTGTTCTCCATCTGCTGCACCATCTTTTTGCTGTCCACCTCATGTAGGCCTGCAAGATGACACAAACCCTTCCCAACACTCTTGCAACTCTTTGACAATGTCCCCACAACACTCTCACAATGCTCCCACAGCACCCCCACAATCTCTTCATAAAGTTCTAACAACTCTTACAACCATTCCACAATGCTCTCACAACACTCACAACCATTCCACAACGCTCTCACAACCATTCCACAACGCTCTCACAACCATTCCACAACATTCTCACAACACTCTCAAAACGCTCTCACAACCATTCCACAACACTCTCAAA